GAGTCGGACAAACGTGTTCCACGATACTCCGTGGAACACATCCGCTTCTGTTCTTGTTCCTGTAAAAGGCGCTCGTGTACAAAGGTGCAATCTTAGCTGTAATTCTGTGGCGTCTAAAAAGCCAGGGTCGTTCTATCCACGTAGAAAGTAAGGATTACTTTCGATATAGTACTTTTAGCGTTCTCGCGAGCATATTATACAGAAAGTAATGCGAGTATACATAGGCGACGTATGTGTATGTTATCCATGAATATTATTATCGATAATCTCCGATGGGAGCTTGGAGTTAATCCCATAATCGACGTGCAGTTGTGATTGTGAGGCAAAACAAGTTCACCGTACGTTCCAATTCGAAAGCATCAATTAATATCGCGTGCTTTCGATAATCCAGTAATGCCAACCTAGCTACGTGCCGAAGCGAAATGCAACGTTCGAGTGTTGTTGTCACGACCATCGAGCTCTCGATTCAAACGTACCTGAAGTTGTATCATTGAACGTACGCGCCAAAAAGAACCGTTACTGACACGCGATGCGTTGTTCTATGTACGTCGTGCCGAGCGACTCTTGTCCGGCGAAACAGCATGGAAAACACATGGACAAGACGCTCGAAAGAAAATGCGAGACGATGTCGTTCGTAAGTAGACGAGTTCGTTCGTTTTTAGTTTTCCACTACCCCCATTCTTTTTCTACGATAAGTAGGTACTACGTTTAACGTTTAAGCCACGAGTCGACGAGCGAACAGAGACGAATTTGTTATTTCTCGTTGCCTGTAGCATGTGCTGTTCCGCACGATTGGTGCAATAATCTCCCCGGTCATTTTGTTTTTGTTGTAACGTGTGCAACGGGGTGAAATGGGCGAGCCTCTCGTACCATCGATGCAGTGCACGGTACCATTTGTCATTCCGGTGACAAATGGTGATATTTTGGTTGCCACGAGGAAAAGTTGTTTCGTTAACGCTAGAACTACCGAGCAATTAACCCTTTGCACTCTGTAGGCTCTACACCAATGTTATTAAACATTTCGATGGTCAAAAGAGAAAAAACTACACTATGATCATTGCATTTGCTGCACAAATGTTTTTCTGAGAACAAACAAAAATCTAAGAAATGTTATATTAAATATAAACTAAAAATGTGAGTTGCTGGTAGATTGAAAAATCAGGTGCCAAGGGTTAATTGTCTTGAAATTGTTCTGTAGAAACATCGACAGTGCTACTATTGAGACTTCAATTTGGTTTGCTATTGAATTTGTTTATTGGTACATCCATTTCTCTAGTACTTTTTCAGAAGCATCTGTTAACTGTTCAATAATGGAAAAATGTGATCAGGGATGAGTGATTTTGATCCTTCCGGTAGTTCTAGTGTTAAAAATAAGTTCATTAAATATAGTCAATATTGTTAGCGGTAAAGTAACAAGCGTGACGAAGTGCCGTAGGAATCTTCATAACCGACGGTGCGCTCGTCAACTGCTATGTACTTCGGACTTGTTCGCGATGGCGTATCGTATCCCGTCGACGTTTACGAGGGAAATTATTTATACTGCCTTGGTACCGAGGCGAATTCGAATATTTCCTTTAGTCGATCATTCTCGAAGTTCCGTTTTAATTGCCCAATTTCGATTTTAACGCTAGAACTACCAGGCAATCTGTCTAACCCTTTGCACTCTGTAGGCTCCAATATTGCACCAGTTATAATATTAAATATTTTCATGAATCTTAAAGAAACTATCCTAAAATTATTAGATTCTCCACACATCTAAATTTTATATTGAGGAAAATAAAAGACCGAAGGAATGTTATAACATTTCTCATTTTCGCTAAGAATACTATAAAAATTAGTTGCAGTTGCTGATAGATTACAAAACAACCTGGAGTGCTAAGGGTTAAAATTTCTCTGTAGAAACTAAATGGCACAACTGTTGAGATTTCGATTGATTCGCACTATGGTTTCTGTATTGAATCAATTTGTAATTTAATTAGAAATTTCTCAGAGAAGCATCCGTTATCTTTTCAACAATTGGAAAAAAGGAAATCATGAATGGGTCCATTTCGAACCCGGTAGTGCTAGTGTTAACGATTCGAAGCGAAATATTTGAACGCGTAGTTCCGTGAGTAACGGAAGTCTCTGGCAATGCAATCTCGGCGTGACTCCTTTCGCACAATATTGTATATATATATTCGCAGGCTTATCTTTTTTTTTTTATAAGATTCATTATTTTCAAACGAGA